GTAAAAGATCACAGAAATGTGAGCATTTTTAGTTAAGTCCCCTTTTTGGACTGCATTTCCCCACATTTGAGGGTTCGTAGATTAATTTGTTACGAGCTGGGCGGGGTCAGGAGGAGAAGGAGCAGAGTGAAGATTTCCTTTCCTTTCTCAGCTGCCTGCTGCCCTCTTGTGCAGTGATTTGCTCTCTACACTGGTGCATTTCCTAGGCATTCAAAAGTTTATCAAAGTGATAAACTTAGACTTGCTTCTTGGTTTGATGAAACGCTGGATTTGGGGTGCCGAGCTCAAACACTTTTCTGTGTTTCACCCCCTGCAGATCCTGTCCTCATATCAACTGGCACTGGCCTTGACCCCTTTGTCGTTCATTGTCTCTACATCTTTTAAGGATTTTTTTAAGGGAGAATGGAGAGAGCTGCTTTATCATTGTGTTTGTCTGATCTGTTGTGATAAGCTTCATATGAAACCTACTATATTTCCTGGTACAGCTGGTTTGTGAGTGCTTCCCTCACTTCTTTGGCTTAGAAGGGAAAATCTTTCTGACTTCTTTGTTGTCAGGATATTCTCCTGGGGATGGTAAGGAATTAAACCTTATGTGGGCCACTAGCATTATGTTCAACTCTTTTTCCATTTTAATGGAATTGTGCAGCTGATGATCTTGCGCCATGTGAGTGTCTGAAAATTCCCTGATAACAGAAAGATAGCTGGAGGAAGTGTAACAGGAGGAAGAAAGTGAACTGGGATTGGGAGAATAAGTGTTGAGAATTAGAATGGGAGGGAGATGGAGAACCAGGAGTAGGCAGTGAAGTTTAATAATAAGGTCATCTTCAAAAAATGGTAAGAGGATTGTTTACAAAGAGTCTAAAAAGAGCAGGAGAACTCCTGGTAGGTTGTTGGACACTTAATGAAGGAACACATGGACACAGCATCCCTTTGTACATTCTCTTGCAAAGGGAAAGGAGCTGCTGAAGAGCCTGACTGGTGTGGTAAGGGATGTTTTTAAACATGGGCTTCATGATGTTACAACACTAACACTATTGGACCTTCAGCTGTGTGAAGAGGAAAAGGGAAAACTGAACGGGAAGTGGAGAACTTAGTTGTTATGTCTGTGGTGTATCTCAAAGCTCACTGTCATGACAGTGACTCAGCTTGCCGGTTCTGTGTCTGGAACTGCTTTGAATTTCCAAACTGCCATCAAAAGGTGGCAGTACAGGAGCGGAGATCAGCAGCCCGGGCAAAGATGTTTGAGTAGGAAACGTTCTCTTTCACCTTTGCTCATGTTACAACATGGGTCACCAGCACAAGTGCAAAGCAGAGAACACTGTAGGGAAGTTTTGTAGTTATCTGTTTGTAGTGAGAACTATTCCCTGTGGGTTTTCCCACCGGATGGAGTCTGCACACAAGAAAACAGCAGGAATCACGTATGCTGGGATTCATCCAGAATTAACTGTTAGTCAAATCTGACTCATCTCATTCAGTGAGATGAAGAAATACTCAGGAACAATTTACACCGCTCCAAACCAGGTCTGTGAAACAGGTGGCTGGAAATCCCACAGGGAATGGTTCTCACACTGCTAACTACAAAAATACGTTCTTGAAGAAAAGAACAAGAGAAAATGGTAGTAGCTAAAATTGTTTAATATCACAGACATATAAATTAATCAGACCACATAGTCCTTAGTACAAACATTCCCTTTACAGAAATGCAATAAATAATTAAATTAGATTAATCAATTGGTATAAAAATAAAGAATCTTCTCAGGAAAAGTAAATATTATACAAAATTGTATATACCATGCTAAAACACATCTCGAAGTGCCTACAAAGGGCTCTTATGATCAAAATCATAAATATATTGTAAAGCCTCCCTAGGAGGTAGTAAGCTTGTATGGCTTGCATTTTGTACTCTGTTAATGAAACACACATTGTTTCTGCGGAGTGCACTTAGTACAAAGAGAGTTCATCTCATGAAAAGAAAAAAGTCAAGAGGGTGTACACATTTGGATTTGTGGTGTCTGGTCGTTCCTAAAGTCACAAGTTCCTCCTGGGGCATCTTCATGTTTCCTTCTGAGAATGCTGTTGCAGAAGAAGATGATGTCTTCTTGAACACTGGTTTGTTCTGCACAAATTTCCTGTTCTTCATTCATCTTGTTCTTCAAATAGCACACCCTAAATAATACACTCAGTCTTTGATCGCTCTTGACAAATCAAAGAGTGAACACAAGTCCTCACATCTTGTAAATCAGTGCATATTTGAAGTGCACAGAGTTGCCCACAATGATTGTGCTGACACTGCCCAGGGGTGTGGTGTTGGCCAAAATCACCTGTCCAAATTTTGTGATTAATATTCTCCATATGTACCTGGACTGGCTTGTCTAATAATTTCAGTTTTCAGCAAGATCTCTGAGCAATTAATCGTCTAAAGTTACGTTTGCTGCAGTTTCTCACTAGTTTTTTGAACACTACAAGTGAGCATTTTAAATTAACTTGTTCTGCAGGTACAAGAAATAACTTCAATTAATAAACAACTATATTGTGTTTAAAACAAGAAAAAACAAGCTTTAGCACTATGTTTGGTGTGATAAAATCCATAGTTAAAAACAATGAAGCAAGTCACTAAACAGAAGTAGGTGCATTACTTGCGCATTACGTGCTGCCTCTTGGACAAAACCCAGACATTGCTGCAGTGTAGGCAGGAGTACCTAGTTAGCTTATGACATTCCTGTAGGGAATTGCTTCTCATTCCTTAAATGTCCATCCCAGCTACACAAGTTGTTTCTCAATGCTTTGTAATGATTGCTAATAAATATGTAATACACAATGTTGTGTTTGTCAGGGCATGCTAATCCCATTTTGTCTGCACAGCAAGGATTTTAACAGGCTCTTTTAGAACAGTGATTTCAATGCACTTGGCAAGTTACTGGAAAAAACATTTACAGATAAAGAAACACATACTGTACTCTTTGTACAAAAATAAAACTCTTTCTCCAAAAACCAGCACATGCAAATATTCCATGGAGGTGCATGAGAAGTGATGGTTTATTGGTTGTCCTCCTAGGACTCACATAAAAATGCACTTAATTAATGATAAAGGCATTCAATTAAAACCCCTCCATAAAAACACAAATGTAGAAATATCAGCAGGTACGCTGCAACTGCAGGACATGGTTCAATGCTTTTGCAGTTGCTTTTATTCAACTCTGCAATAGAATTTTACCCTGGCTTTAAAATCTCTTGCAGTAGCAGCTTTGCATAGTGCTCACCGATTGGTGATGAAGGGACTTCATGGGTAGGTGAGTCAGAGAAACAGGGATAGAAGGTGCAGAAAGAACATAATTTAAACTCAGTACTTCGATTACTTATGTATGAGTAGTAGATATTTTTTAGAATGTTAATTCTGACACAGTAATGTGGAAACGTGGAGGTATGAAATAGAGCATTACACAAAGGAAAAGCGAGTTTTGAAACAGAAAAGGGAAAGGAGAAGAAAAAGATGTTCTAAATCAAAATGAGCATCACCAGAAACAAGGAGAGTTCACTTGGTTTGCTGTGCCCTGAGGATCTTCCTTCCTCTTTCTGATGTACATTTTTGAGGAGGTTCACATTTCAGGACAGTGAAAATGTGGAGGCAGCAAAGCTTTTTGTATTAGTTTTCCTTTAGGCCAACGACATTGGTAGGAATGGAAATATTTTTAATACTACCTCATTATTTTTAGAGGTAACTAAGCTTGTCATTTTCCATCCTAACACTAGATGCAGTTTTCCAGTTTCCTCTCTCTGCCACATTTCTACTAAGTAGAGAGAAAATTAGATGAAATGTTAATTTTTACTGGAAGGCTCTATGCTCTTTTCCAATATCAGTTTCCTCCTGTGGGTTTAATAACTGTTTGGGCAAATTAACCCAAATGGAAGAACCCAGAGGTTCAGAATCCTTGCATGCAGAATATGGTGTATATAATAAAGCTGCCAAAACTAGTTTTAGGTAATACTCACTTTCATTTAAAAAAAATTCAATGGTATATCTGGCCATAGTTCCACAGAAATGTTCAGGATTCAGGAGCTGTACAGTAAGGTTTGCATAGAACAAAAACTTGACAGATTTTTAAAGAAAAAGTGTCAAATAACAAACTGTAAAATTTAATCAGAGGGAATGAATAGAGTTAATGGTACATTAATATGAGGGTAAATGTTGTCCTCTGAGAAAGAGCAGTATGTATTGGAGCTGTTTCATTCTGACTAATCATCAATTACTGTGTTTATTGGACATTTTGTAGTGACTGGTTGTACCAGCCTGTCATGCCCTGCTGTATCTGTCATGTTAAGCTGGGGCAGTGTTGATGAAATTCCATTTTCTGAAACAGGATTTTCCCTCAGAATCCTGTATCTCCACTTAGAGCATGTGGGTTACATCTCTTCCCTATTGAATCCTATGGCAAATGTGCCATTAGCTTCAAGATGTTAATCACAGCCATGCAGTATGATTTGTAAATGTTTTTTCCAGTATTGAGAAGGCAGTTAAATGCAGGACATTTTTCCATAGTTAGCTAACATGCAGTCTAAGAATTCATAAATAAAGCTCTGTGTGTGGTATTATTGTAAATAAGGAAATCAGTCCAAGCAGATTCCTTTGAGGCTTCAAAACCCCTGATAATTTTTTTGTTAATTTTCTTTGAAAAGTTGCAGAAATTTCTGCATGGGATTCAGTTAAGATCAAAGCAAAAGTACAAAAGTAACCATCTCTTGTATTTCTAGTTTAGCAGAAGGGGGACAGTTAAGTCCCTTACTAGAGCTGGTTTTTGTGAAATTAGAATTTAATTTTCCCTGTAAGGTGGGGCTAGCATCCATCTTACAAATACCCATCCAAATAAGGCACCTTAATATTTTGGGAGAAGTTTTCACTTACCACACACAGAGAACACATAATAGCACTAGGAAGTATTTACATTTTTCACATCTTAAACATAACATAGTGTCTGCTTTAAAAAATAGATTTTCAGTAGCCTTCAGCTCTGGTGTGTCCTACATTCGTTCTTGTATAGCTGTAAAAACAACATGTTGTTAGTAAGGATGTAAACTAAGGATATCTGTAATGGTTTGCAAAATGTCAAGAAGCACCCAGGAGGAATGAACTCTGCTTACCATTTGCATAAGATTTTCAAAGCCCTTCAGAAATTCTTTGGGGGTTTTCTTCTCATAAGATTCACATGTTTTCTCATACAACTCACAGTTCTGGAAGATAAAAGAGAATCATGGCGCTTCTAAACAGCACATCACAGTCCTAAATCAAACCTCAGGCTTTCTCACTGAAAAATCAAGAGGGTTGTAACCAATGCCTTTTCTAGCTGGAAAAGCTTTGACACAAGCTCTTTCCAAAGGGAAGGAATTTAGTAATGACACCTTCCATTCACTTTTTTTGCAGTGATCCCTGTCCTTCTGCCAGCACGTTGTGTGTTTGCCAAATACACGTATGCGAATTTTTATGGTTACAGGGAACGCTTCTCCCAAAAATTCAAAACTTGGACTGTTTAATTGCCAAAGTAATGAAGGGCAGATTACTGTTTCTAATAATTTGCTTTCTACAATTCCCCCATTGCAGGAGGCTCCTGCTATAGAAAATAAGGAGAAATGATCACAATTATGAGCACTCTGAGGAAATCTTACCTTTCCAGAGTTTCTGTAGGTAAAGTTCTGCACGGTTCTAATGGCTTTGGTGAACGCCCCCTTATCTTGGTTGCTTGCTGGTTGTAATTTCAGGGTCCCACTCTTGAAGCAGGTCACAGCTGTGGACAGGCATCCCTCCTAAGGCAGGAGAAGAAGGAACTGTTTTAAAGCCAATGTTGCAGCACTTTTTCCTGCTAATGTTAGATTGTGGTCCATGTGCAGAAGAAGGTATCCAGGATATTAACTGAGACTATTCAGCTGTACCTTTTTTTTATTCGTTTTTGATACACAAGTGATATTGAGCTTTACATTGGCTGTTCTTGCATAATTACTTAGGTATTTCCTAATGAAATAAATTTCCACTTGGCTATTAATCATGACAGCATTTGAAAGAAAACAATCCTGAAGAGTAGATCAGTTACATGTAGTAGGTTTTCACCTGCTAAAGCATGAGCATTTTGTTTTTTAAAAATTACAAATATCTCTCAGTGCTATGTGTGGGAATATACTTCTTTGTCTTCCTCATTTTGGTACCCTTTCTAATAATGCTTAGTTAATAATTAGAATTGACGAAGAACTGTGTGTTTTCAAATACTCTTAAAATGTTGTTATATGATAACATCAGAAGTGATACAGAAACTATCCCCAAAACTAACCTAACAGTCCACAGAGAAAGAAAAGCAATGTTTACTGCAGCCAGTTTAAGTTACTTTCTGTTTTCCAAGGAAGGAAGCTGCTGATTACACATACTAGAAAGACTCCAAAGCCATCATCCTTCTCAGCATACCAACTGCTGCCCAAGCTGAGTCTCATCTGCCTTGTGAGATGTCACTGCAGTTTGCTGCTTGGGCATGGACGCAGCAGCCTTCATGGATGTTGCTTTGAGCAAATTTGGCTGGCAACATTCTGTGTTGGTCAGATAAAGTATTTTATTTTCCTTAAATGCCAAACGTTTATGTTTGTTTCAAGCATCCTTACCGTAACTGGCCTTGCTTACTGGAAAAAAACACTACTCGTCTTTTAAAGAGATCGATTTTCCAGCTGAAACTGAAAACATTTTTGGTCTCATCCGTGCTGAGCTGAGAAACCAGCATTTCTCATCTGTGCTGCCTTTTCTGTTTTGCTGAGCTGTCACTTATAGCTGAGGCAGCCAACGATCAGGCACCACAAGTATTGTGGGGCCCGGCGTGTTGTCACAGGCTGACTACTTTGGGGGTGAGGCATGAAGGAGCACATACCACTGGAAATGGTCTGAGGGGAGCTAGAAACGTGTAAAATATTTGTATCAGTGGCAGTTGGCAGCAGCACTCTGCATCTGACTCAAACTAGCTTTACAGATGAGCCCGTAGAGCCCTTGCTTCCGGAATTAGTGATCAGCGGGGTGAGATACAGATCCAGGGCACATCAGCATCTTGTCACTCAGCGGCACTTCAGCTGCCAGTCACCAACAGGAGAGCTCATTTGCCCTCCAGACTGGAATTACCTCAGCATTAACACTGCTTTTTCACTTTTTAATACTGCTGTTTTCCCTTGAATTGATGTCCTCTAACTTCTCTTTAGTCAAAGGAAAGAATACTTCATTGTTGAGAATACAAGGAAATTATATGGGATTGAATTGCGGCTAACAGTCCACACAAAAGAACCTCAAGGACACCAAAATGGATTGGGATAAACCACCTAATTCTAAATATTATAATAGGTGATTTTCTCATTGAATATTCAAGACCAAATGCAAATCTGACATGAGCAGGTTATAATTTTTAAAAATTCAAATATTTTGATATTTGAAATGCAGTTATGTGGGCAACTTCTTATTAAATTGAGTTTCACTAGGCTGTGGTGGCACCTAATCACTGAGTGCCACTTTAGCACACTGTGATACATATTTTAGTCACCCTGTAGGATGAAAAATTTGTTGATTTGGTTCCTGGTGATAATTACTGTTAGCACACTAATGTTTTTTTTTTTTTACATTTTGCATCAGAAGCTGAACCCATATCAATAATTTCTAAATACGTGAATTCTCTGTCTTCTCTAGTATTCAGAGGAGGCACTCAGGACCTCCCAGAATCAGACAGTAAAGCCCTAAGCTGCAAGTGAGCTGTCGTTTTCCTTCCTGAGGTGAGCATGACTTTTTTTAAGAAAAAACCCCAACAACCTCATTAAGCAATTAGTCACTAGTTGTCTTTGCTTAGTTTCAGAGGCAGCGGCAAACGCTGGATTAAATGACAGCAAATAATCTCCTCCTTTTCACTTTGACACCAAGTTAGAAAGAGTTTTAGTGGGAAAAGCCCGGCAATGCATTTGTGCACTGAAGTTGTTCCTAGCAATTCAAAGGAATGCATCTGGTTTGGTCATGCTTCTGTATAATTTTTGGCAAGTTAAACATGTACCGAGCTGTAAAGCCTAGGAAGAGGCTAACCAAAACCTGTGTGAAATGAGGTGAGTTTTTTTCCTTTCTTCTTGTAGCTGCTTGCAAGGGAGTTTAGGATCCTGAGTAGATAAATTTTTAACAATGTCTACAGTTTTTACGGCATAGTAGTGCATAGTGATGGCTTTTACATGTCAATCAAAATTGTTTGTGCTACAAAATAGGGCTTAAAAATTTAAGACAGCTGATAACACAAGTATAGTATTAGGTAGCCACAGGTTGCTCTACATACCTCAGTTGCATATTGAGGGATTACCAAAGTAGCACGCATTTATCCTCCAAGTTTTTAAGACGTGATTTTACTATGATTAGCATTTAAATTCACAGTACATCCTGCATCCTACCACTTCTGAGAGTGCACAGACTTGGTGACTCACTGTATGTAAGAAGATCTTAGCCTTGGAAGATGCAAAATATCAGCACTAAATAATGTATAAATACATATTTGTATTAAAAAGGAGTTCACAGGGAGCTGCTCTTGCATTTTTAACTGGTTATAATCTGAAGAGAATATTTGCAGGTGCAGTTTTTCTTCCTGTTGGTAGCACAGTCCCTGCACAAATAGTCTCTGAGAAAGCAGTGTGACTGCACATGAGATGAGGCACTCATTGACATGACCTTGCAGTGCCACTCTTGTCGTTTGGCTGCAGTGGGAGGCAAGGGGGGCAGCTCAGCCATGCTGGAGCTCATGGTAGCTGGAGGCACTTCCACTCCAATTACCTGCATCCCCAAAAGCGCTGCAGCTTGTCTGGGTCTTGTATGAATCCTTACTCTTAGCACTATTTCTTAATTAAATGGAATTTGTGCAACTCTGGATCTATTGGTGGGTTATGATACACATAAAATAGCAAAATAGTAATTGTGATGCCAAAATATAAACACTTCTGCTGTTAAATATCCAGAAAGGGAACTTTTAGAAAGTATTTTCTTATTTAGTCTAGCTTGCATTAAGAGTACTAGGTCAGAGATGTGAAGAAGACATTCTCCATTTGTCAATGGAATAAACCAGCACAAAATCAAAACTATATAATTATGAAAAAAATGTTAAAGCAGCCTCACCACAAAGTTTTCTGGTGTATGCAGCAATTCAGCATCCTAAAATAAAACAAATCTAAGTTAGAAAAGTTTTAACATTGGAAAGTGATGTCCCTCATAAGATCTATACTAAGCAATATACAATGCTTGAAAGTAATTTCAATATTACGACAAATACCATCACTTACCTTATCTTTCACCAGTCTTTTTAAGACTCCAATTTTATTTAGAATCTGTTTGTATTTTACTGTTCTGGGTGAAGCTGCAGTCAACATCATAGTGGAGCAGAAGAAAAGCATGCAGAAAATAATCATCCTCTTCATCCTGATGAGTTCTGTTTTAAAATGTGCCAGGAGCAAAGTTGTGCTGTTCAAGTGTAACACTCCAGTTTGAGCTGTGCTCAGGTAAGCTCTGCACCTACCTATATATTGCTCCCTGCTGGAGATGGAGAACCCACCCATTTCAGTTTGGAAAGCTTTGTAGAATGGATTAATGAGTAACCCTTTTTTCTTTTCCACTGGCTAGGTGCATGTATGCAGGCTTGTGCGTGGGGGGGCAGGGATTGATGGAGTGAAAGAAAATGTGCCCCATCTGCACACTGGGCAGGAAAAAAGAGAAAAGGGTGAATTCCCATTTTCACTTTGAGTCAAGAAATGAACGCACTAAAAAGTTGGTTCTTTGAAACCACAAGCCTAGGTAAACAAAGATTCTGCATTTTTTTCCTGTGTCATACAGCAATGAATTTCTTCAATCCATCTGCAGCTTTCTATACTCTTCTGGAGAAATATGACAGGGCTTCTTTCAAAATGTAAATTTATCCCACTTTATGGCTCCAAGGAGTGTTTGTCAGCTATTTCCTCCTGCTGTATATGAACTGTGGCTTTTTCATTTTCAGCATGCATTGTGTTAGAGCTGTAAGTAAAAGCTCATCTTAGCATTTAAACCAGCTGAAATTTGCTTTATATTTGCTTGGAACCAGTAGCACATATATGAACAGCATTGTGGAGGGCATGTCCACTGGGAGTGAAGGTTGCAGGGAGATGCCTTGTCCTGGGAGAGATGAATCCCTGGAGCATGCCCATTACCAAGAGGGGAGCAGTACTGGAAGAGCAGGGACTAAATCCTGGTGTGTCAGTCCCAAGGGACACTATTGCTTGTGGCAGTGATTCAATGCTTGTGGCACCTAAACACATTCAGTTTCATCCTTCACCAGCTGAGAATTTCCTTGGGAATGTAGAGGAATATATGAAGTCCAAATAAAAGTCTGTGCAGTAAGTAGGGACTTACTGGACTTCCAGCTCTAGGAGTCAGTTGATTTTAAAATTTAAAAAATTTTTTTAAATTTTTTGATCTTGACATTTCATCACAAAGAGAGGAAAACCAGCTTTAAATTACTTTTATGTATTATCATTATTTAATTACTATCAATAGCATTGAAGGGTTCCTATGTGGAATTAGTAGAGAGCAGTTAAAGTCACTTAGGCACCTTCGCCTGTGATGAATAAAAAGATGGTAATGTGTCTGTCAAATTACATCTTTTCCTCTGAAAATCTGAAGATTCCAGATGGCTTTGGGGATGCTTTACATAATCTACAAAGAGTTTGGACTGCAGTTGGATTTCTGGTAAGCTGTGTAATATCCTGACATGGTATAAAATGTCCCTGTATAAATCTGTCTGGTGGGTGAGTCTGGGCTGTCAGGCTGGGTCACTTGTTCATTGTTCATTTAAAAAGGAGTGTTTGAGCTGGTGAGAGCTCTATCTGACATGCTCTGGCACGTTTCTTTTCTGTGTACAAATGATTATTTATGCTGTTTATGTGCTTAAGTTGTTTTTCACCATTCAGAAAAGGAATCGCTTAAAGGAATAAATTTTATAGGTGTATGTGTAAATACACAACTGCACTCAGAGTCTCATGCATGCACACACAGACTCTCTCCTGGTGAAAGGGGTAGCTACTAACGCCCAATAGAAGAGAAATTCTGAAAAATGAGAACTGAAACAAGTAAGAAAAAGTACTTTCTTCTACCACATAGTCTGAAATTTTATTTCTTGAAGAAAAGGTAGTGTGATGATTCTTCCCCTCTATGGATGCATCTTAAAATAATTTTAGATAAGCAGCACAGCTGTGAAGTACAGAGGATCTCATTAGGTTTTATTTGAAATGTCTGTTAATTTATAGCTAGGGCTCATTAAAGGAAATCAACAGCATCTTTGGTCTGAGAAACCACATGGTGACCAGTACTTCTTTTGTCTTCTCTCCCTCCATCCCATTCCTGGGAAGCATTGTGGAATTATATTTTTATTTTTTTTTTGTCTGTTGTGTAACACCTCCCTGAGGCTGCTGAGAACACAGAGAGGTTACTTCCAATAATGGTGTTCTTTACACAAAGAGGGGAGTTGGCTCTGCTCCTCTTTACCATAACCTTTACATAGGTTGTTGCCTGGTAAAGTGGATGAACATTCATTTATCCTCAATCCACTTTTTGATTTACTCTTGGGAGTGTTCATAGTAAAGAAACAGTCTGGTGCTAATGTTTGCTGTTACCTCTTTTGTCAGTATTTCAACTGTGGATTCTTCTGGGAAGTTTCTTTGAGCCCAGCTACAGTAGGTGGTCGTGGTAGCACTGTCAGCCATTTATACATCTTTATTTGGTTGATAGGTTGGGAACTTCCCACTTGGATGTGTAACAGGACTCTATTAACTGTGACATCTTGTGGTGCTTGGCAGTGTTTCACGCAAAGAGATCAGTGAAGGTTGGTGCTGGTCCAGACAACTTTGGAACCTATTAAAAACTGAAGTTGATGTACAGTGTAACTCTCCTTGTGTTTTCAGAAGCACAGGGCTTAAAAGGGCAGAGGCAGATCTCCACCAAAATCATGGGAGGTGAGATGGCTCTGTCTGAGCTACTCCAGATTAAATCAGTTGTATCTGAGATCAGTTTTAAAGCTGGTGGAGTAAATGGGAAATTAAACAGGCATTTGACAATGTGGTAACTTGTATTTGCATATGAGGTCTCTAAAGCTGCTGTATAGTCTTCTATTTTGTGTTAGAGGCTGTAGGGCCACAAGAACTGCATCAAGGAAGCCATGCTGACAGAGAAAGTGAAATGCAGGGACAAAGGAGGACTTCCTCTTGTCTAGGCAGTGGAGAAAACTCCTTGATATCCCTCTTATCAGATAAGAGTGAGCAGCAAGTTTTTTACATACGTCACTGCTCTCTTGTGGCTTAGGAACACGCTGAGTCAAACAATGACAGCCTCTCTCACACTGTCGCCGGCCCGGCCCCACAGGGATGGCTGGAAAGAGGAAATGTGAGAAACCTCCCGGCCCAACCCCGCCGGCCGAGTCCTCCTCTTTCCTCTTCGCGATGGTGCCATCCAAGAGCTGCATGACTTCGACCCTGAAAGCCCGGTTCCCCCACCTACATTTTCCTTTACAGGAGAACTGAATGGAGGTTTTTCCCATGGCTTAGTCATCGCTATGGTTCAGCCAGAAAAGTCTGTAATATACAGGGCTGCTTTCAAAGAATTTTTATAACTTGGATTTGTGAAATTTCATGTGTGTACTATCTGTGACGGGGGATTGTAGGAGATAAGGGGAGAGAGTTATGCTGAAAAATGGAAGACTAGGAAGAAGATTCCTGTAAGACAGATTTAGAAAAACTAGTCTTCAAAATATTCCTGACAGCTTTGCAAGACAGTTCTACCCTCTTGTAATCTTATTTTCCTATTATAAGCTTTGGTATAATTCTTTGGTCTTTTAACTGTGCTTTGTATTTGTAAAGACAAAACTGAACCTGGGAAAAAAAATCTATTCTTAACTTGTATTTGCTGTAAAAAAAAAATCGTAACTCTGTAAATATAACTCTGTGGAGACACAAGACACTAAAATATTAATAGGCAGCAATATAAAACCATTTACATTCTCCATAATGTTCCTTCAGGACTACTTGTAGCCTATTTCTTTCCCATCCTACTCCTAGGTCAAGCCAGTAATGCTTTTTAGGCACATAGTTTGATGTATTTATGTCCTTACCAGCTACTAATGACAAACTGTACTGAGGAAATATCCTGTCAACACCTAGAGCCTGAGACAAGCTTAGACCCATCCTGCACAGAGCCAGATATTCAGAACTGTCCTCTTGTGGGCACATCCTTTTAAGTCTCCTTTAGTGGTGGGAGCAGCCTCCCATCTCCTGGGTCACAACTTTCACTGCATGTAGGATGGAAGAAGCCTCACTGCGTGACCAAGTGGGATCTTCTGCCACTGCAGTAAGCCATATCATGCAGTTCCTTTCACATCTCAGCTAAAACCTCCTGCATATGGCCTGAACAGTTTGATCTCTGTAACTTAGAGCTGTGCCTGAGCTGTGTTCAAGCTTTCATAGAGAGCTCATTCTTCTTTACGGTTGTGCTCACAATCCTTCCCCACTACAAGAGGACAGCCACGTTCAGAAGACAAGGCAGCAGCTGACAGGATGTTTGGCTACCACAGTTCTCTTAAAATTTTGAGGGCAGAAGGGAGTTGTTCAGCTGAAAGCCACAGATGGGGACAGGCTGAGGCAAGTCATTGCTCCTGCTCTCTGTGGCAGCCAGGACTTCTGCTGCTCAGGGGTTTGATGCATAGCAGGTCTGCAGATCTCCTTATGAAGGAAGGCACACAGAGCACCACCTTCCTACCACAGGAGTGTTGTCTGTTTCCCAACATTCCCAACACATTTCCCAATGATTCCAGTAAGAGACAAGCCTATGTGTGAAAAGCAGGAATGTAGTAATGCTGAAACCCAACAGCATGTCTCATGTTCATCCCAAATGTTGAGAAAGAAAAATCAGAAGAGATAGACACAGGTTTTGGACAGTGAATGGAGGATGCAGAATGGAACAATGCAAGATGCTTCCTTTGTTCATTTACTGTTGTTAATGAACAGAAGGAGCAGAAGTCAGACGGGACTGACTCACTTCTGTGTTACAATACCAGTAGCATAAAACAAATAACCACTGAACCGTTGCAGGTTCAAGATGTGTGTGGTGCACAGTCTGGTAAACTGGTAACTATTCCACTGGCAGCTGGGGCTCCCTGTATCTTGATGTGCCTTGCATGGTGATCAGCATGACACTACAGTTTGAGGTTTGAAAACAGAATTCAGGGTTTGATGTTACAGATTCTTTTGGAAGTCACTCCCAGGGTTTGGTGAGGCTTCTGAGCTGGTGTGGGATCTCCACAGCAGTGCAGTTCTTCCTTCTTACACAGTCTAAAGCTAAACACAGGGCACAGCCACTGAGGGGCTATGGCCGTTTTGCCTCCTCCAGCAGATCTGCTCTG